TTCAGCATCCAACAATGCTATGCTACCTTTCGAGCAAGAGAGACCGAATACAAGAACACAAGGAGGGCCCATTTTAAAATTCATCAATAGAGGATTTCCAGCACATCCTTGTCCAGAACAGAACAGCTTCTCATCTATTGTTCAGATACCAACTGTGTGGAACATTATAAAAGTACTAATGGAAAAAATCCAACACTTAAGGGAGTCACGTTGAGCTCAGACGAATGTAATAAATTGCATTTATGTCTTTCTATTAAGTAATATAATACATCCCACCCAGACCCATCCCCTTATAACCCACCTAATCTACACATCCCTGAACACTATAGGCAATTTAGCATGGCCAATCCACCTAACCTGCACATCTTTGGACTGTAGGAGGAAACCGGAGCACCCGGAGGAAACCCACGCAGACATGGGGAGAATGTGCAAACTCCACACAGACAGTCACCCAAGGCTGGAATCAAGCCTGGGTCCCTGGCGCCGTGAGGCAGCAGTGCTAACCACTGTGCCACCATGCCGCCCATATAGCCATCTTCTGCTATTTTGCAACTAGCAATTAAAGAGAATGTGCAAGGGACTAGAAATCAGTATGGTACTGTGGGATGATCAATACTCATGAAGTTTTCTCCAGCATCAAGAATCATTTTCAGCAGTGGCAGCATCATGATCATCATCATGCAATTATACAGTGTGTTTGATTGTAAAACATCCTCACAGAAACATTATCAAATAGAATTTGATACATGAGGAAATATTAGGGCAGATGAACAAATGCTTAGTTAAAGAGAAAAGGTTAAGAAGCATTCTAAGGGGTGGAAAAGACAGGCAGAGAGATTTAGACAGGGAGTTCCAGAACTAAAGGGCCTAAGAAGAGAGAGAAACTTGAAGAAAGAAACCCTATCATTTTCAATAATCACGAGGTAAGTAATGTTACAGGTCATGCAAGAGCCCAGAAAGACTGCAAAAGTGGCAACCAAGAACTGGAGAATTTAAAAAAAAACTCCTCCTACGTGGCACCCTGACCAGTCAAATCAGGTAAGATAATATGGCTGATTTATCTGCCTCTGACAGTAACTCAGGCATGGGTTATGACAGTTGTAACAGCATTAGAACAGTGAATAACTTCAAAAGTACTTGGCTGTAGAGTACTTAAGGATACTCTGCGGTTATGAAATGCACCACATATCTTTTCAAAAATGTACACATAAACCTCAACTATTTCAAAGAAAATCATCTAATATTTTAAGATTGTTAAAGTGTACTGATTTTATCCATACATTCTCTGATCAATTAACCAGTGTTTAATGAAATTGTGCACTGTACAATAAAGCCAGAAATTGATGTGAATTTAGAAAACATTTGCAATGACTATGTAAAATTAATTTTTTAGCAAATGTTCTACTTCACTGCAGACAAATGAAATGGTACTACTATTCAAACAGAAAAGTTAACATCAAAAATACACTTTTCATTTACTGAGGGCATCCCAACGTAATTCACAACCAATGAATTGTAGTCAATGTAAACAATCACAGCAGTTAATTTATGCACAGCAAACTTCCACATGTAGCAACTAAATAGATGATCAGTTTAGGGATGTTAAAGTTGAGTTCAAGTGAGAAATGTCGAACAGTACAATTCACCTCCTAAAGCGATATCAGATAGTAGACATTCACTACTGCAGTACTGCACTAAAGGGTTATCCGACCAATTCCCTAGAGGGACTTGAATCTCTTAACCTTCTGCTGCGAAGGAGATAATGTATTGAACTGAAGTTTCACTTACTAAGCATGTAAGATTTATGCAGGCTGTGTCTCATTGGCGCAGAACCTGCAGGAAAACCCACCTCTGAATACTGTCCAAATTGGAGCAAAATTTCTGGACATCGAGCAGTTTATAAATTGTATACAACATTTCATAAATCTCAAAATCCAGCCTTTCTCAATCCAGGCGTGACTAAGAAACTGTTGAAAATTCAAGTAATAGTAATCACATAGAAAAGAAGTCTCAACAATAACAATCATTTAGAAAAGCCTGAAAAGTGATGCAGTAATGATGTATCTTTCATGCCATTTGAGCCAGTGAGACAGTGGCATAAATCCCAGGCACCTGAAAGGTGGCGTTTCATGCTGATTTCACACATGTATTGTGTTAGTATGGGTTATTACCAGAACTGGCCTCCATTTTTCACATCCTTGCCAATATAAAACTTGTAATGGATGTGAGAACAGATGGAAACAAACTGCTCAAGTGGAGTAGCTAAAAATCAGGCCTTTCAAACACAGGATGCAAGAAGTTTTTAATTGCCTTCTTCATTAACGAAATTGCAGTTCCAAGTAAATAGTCTCACAGTCAGTAGGAACTGCAGATGCTGGAGAATCTGAGATAACAAGGTGTAGAGCTGGATGAACACAGCAGGCCAAGCAGCACCAGAGGAGCAGGAAGGCTGACATTTCAGGCCTAGACCCTTCTTCAGAAGGGTCTATTTCTGAAGAAGGGTCTAGGCCCGAAACCTCAGCCTTCCTGCTCCTCTGGTGCTGCTTGGCCTGCTGTGTTCATCCAGCTCTACACCTTGTTATCCCAAGTAAATAGTCTCTAAGACAAGACCATCAATGCAAATCATTTGCAGAGAAACAATAACAGAGCATCTTAAAGACCATATACTACGTCTAACAGATGCTAATTGATGTAGGCCTAAACAAGCACAGAAGTTAAATTATAGTTCACGGATATATTTGACTTCCATATCCCTGTTGAATCTCAGGAGTTTCTCATTTGGTATTTAGGGCACTCTGATATGCAGCAGGGTCACTGCTCAAACAGCAGAATCTTTTTCTCCAAGGTGTTCACAGCAACCTGAAAGGCTGTATCTGGAACAAAGGGCTGGGGGAGGAGGCGGCATTGTATCTGACATTTCTTTTCCAAAGTATGTTCACTGTCTTCTTTCCAAGGTGATTTCAACAATCGGAACTGAATAGCATACCACCAGCAATAGGTACCTACTGGCCTCCCAGAAAAGGGCCACCAGTCAGCATTCAGGGAAATTTGCAAAGAAAGGGTGCCCAATGAATTAAACGCATCCATTTTCCTCAGGAAAACTTGCAGGGCCTCTTGAGCTTCATGATTCTCTTCACATGCACTCAACATTAAAACGTACCCACTGTGCATGGGCTTAAAATGCCTCTGGAGCCCCAGTGCTGTCAAGAGGGAGTTCACAGCCTTTGAATTTACATCATAACATTGGCAGAAGCAATTTATCCTCCACAAGAATGCACTGTGTGACTCAGGGGTTGTTGGAATTTGGGCTGTCAGATTAGCCATGTGTCCAGATGCATTCCCTCCAGAACCAAAGGGCAGGCTCTAGATGGTTTTCTAGCATGAATGATAATCCAGGACAGTTAAATGCCCAGCTATCGGGTTTTACAAGTGGGAAAGGTTAAAGACTTCCTGCTAAGTTACTCTCAGATTGTGTGTAGTTTGTAAAGTAGGGAGAAGCAGATATATTTGATAGAAAAGTGCAGCTTGAATGCAGAACACTTTCATACAAAGATTTACACACGGTTCTCCAAAATTGGATTTCATACACAATTAGAAATACTAATCAGATCAGGCCATACTATCTTTCACCACACTGATTATCCACAGAACCCATTATTATTATCATTGTTAATATAAAGGAGTGATTCATAGGTGAAGGAACATCTTGCAGGAAGTTGTGTTCAGAAAATTACATGCCACAGTGCTCAATCTATTGTCCATTAATTAAAGACAGCTAGGGCCTGGCTAGTTTCCATTCCAATATTGCTGATGATCTAACAGTAATCTTCTCCCTATTAGGAAATCATTCCTATGGATTAAAAATATTGTACATTTTTCTGTGCAATTTGATAAAGGTGAGAGAAGGAAACAAAAGAATTATAAAGCAGTTAGCCAAATGTTTGTTGTCAGGAAATTGCTAGAATCTATAAGTCAGGATAAAGTGACAGAACACCATTAAAATTCTTAGCTAATTAATATTCCATGCTGATAAACTTGATAAAAAACTACAAAGTGATATTAATAGATTAAGTGAATGGACAATACAATGCTAAATGGACTTCAACGTAGCCGAGTGTGAGGCCATCCACTTAGTGCCAAAAATGGACACAACTGAATACTTTCTAAATGGTGAGAATCCACAAACAGTGGAGATCCCAAGAGATTTACGGGTCCAGATGCACAAGTCATTAAAATATCATGAACAAATGCAAAAATATTGTAAGAAACCCAACAAAACACTGGCATTTGTATCTAAAAGACTAGATTACAAGGAGGTAGAAGTTATGCTACCGCAATTCAAAGTCATGGTTAGACCAAACCTGTGAAGAGTTTGGACAAGGAAAGATACACTTACCTTGGATGAATATTGGATTCCAAAGGCTAAATTTCAAACTTAGCGTACACAAACTAGTGTTGTATTCCCTGGAAGTTAGGGGGTTTAAGAGGTGACTTGATCCAAGATTTCAATACATTAAGTGGAACTGATTGATTGGACCAGGACCGAGGATGTCCCTAAAGGTTAGAGTCAAGCATTTCAAGAGTGTTTTCTAGTTCTGCTCCAACCCAATCTTCTCACAAACACACAATGCTTACATTTTAAGTCCCAGTTCTGGGTGCCAGATTATGATCCTCAGATTTCAAACAATCCATTAGAGATTAGCTACTGTACACATTAAATTATTATATGTAACAATAGTCAGCAGATCATAATAAAGTCATGAAGTAAGATGGTGGTAGAAGCATCTCGGGGGGGAAGATAGTCAGAATAGGAATAATCCTCAAATATTAATATACCCCTTTTTGTAGCTTGTCTAAGCCTCCTGGTTATTCCTTAAAATTCACTCATTTTGCTACATTTAATGGACCATCTAATTTTAATACCTATGAACTGTAATGTAGAACAGGTGACAAAAGGTGGCTGGGAAATTAGGACAATTCCATCGATCAAAGACAATTACCTTGAACCTCTCCGAAACCCCGTCAGTGAAGCTGATGGTAAATTCAGCAATTTTAGGTGCTTGGAACTTGCCTTTCTTTTGACTTGGCTGGTATTCTGCCCGTGTTTTAACTATAACCTACAAGGAAGAGAAAATAAATCAGCCTGGCACGGTTATGCGTTCTGCTAAAGTAAGTACATATCAGCTAAAATAACACAAACACTCTTCATCTCCCACAGGATAAAGCTATTCAAAAAACAGCCTGACTATACACAATATCAATTCCACTATATTGTTCTCTCTACTTATAAAATAAACTATTTTTAGGTGAGACATTCAAGCAAGGATTCACAAAAATTCAAATGTGTGTACTTGTCTTCGATATGTCAACAGTGATCAAAAGGTTTACCTGATGTATTAGTATCAATACGCTACAAAAAATTACTCTAAAAACAATACGATTCTTGCACAATGCTTGTATTTCAGTATCTTAATTGGTCTTCACTACTAGCACAAATGTAACCTGTAACCAATGGGCCTTCCTTTTAGTGCTAGAGATCAGAATTGTCTACGGGGAGAACACAATCATTTTATTCTGCTGCCTGCATTCACTTGAATCACATTTATGCATTACTGGATCCTAGAGACATCTCCGGTACTGCTTAAAAAGGAGCCAATTTGTCATCAGCCTTAAACGATCTTCCGTACTGAGTCATGTTAATTAAATCTCCACTCCACGCTCTGACTGTTTTGTGATCTGCCTGCAATGCTGTGGCATTAACCCAATACTTAACACAGGCAGTGTTCTCAATTTCACACTCTTGTTAACTAGCTTGTTTAAAAATCATTTCATAAACACAGGAAATTACACCTTCAGGGTGCACCCATAACCCTGCCAGTTTCCTGAAAGCCTGAGACACTGAATGTTTCTTATAAAAAAGCAGAGAGTACTGGGAAGCGCTCAGTAGGTCTGGCAGGAACAGTGACAAAAGGAAAAAAGCAAAAAACATTTTAGGTCAAGGGCATTTATTCAGGGCTCCTCTTCATCATAAAATAGAAAAATAAAGTGAGCACAGTTCTACCTTGCTGGATAGTCTTTGAGCCCTAACAATTTCATAAAACAATTGTCAGGCATGTCCAAACATGTGTCACAATCCAGTTCTGCCACAACTCTGCTTCAAAATGGGGACTGGGTGACCGCTTTGCAGAATTCCTCTGCTCTGCCCACAAGCATGGCCCCAACATAAGGGCTGCTTGCCATTTCAATTCCTAGTTTTAGGGCAGCACGGTGGCTCAGTGGTTAGCACTGCTGCCTCACAGTGCCATGGACCTGGGTTCAATTCCACCCTTGGGTGACTGTCTGTGTGGTGTTTGCACATTCTCCCCGTGTCTGTGTGAGTTTCTGCCGGGTGCTCTGGTTTCCTACCACAGTCCAAGAATGCGCAGGTTAAGTGAATTGGTCATTTTAAATTGTTCAGGGATGTGCAGGCTAGGTGGGTTAGCCACGGGGAATGCAGGGTAACAGGGATAGAGTAGGACGAAGGATGCCCTTCAGTGTGGACTCAATGGGCTGAATGGCCTGCTTCCATACTGTAGGGATTCTATGATTCTCATGCTCACATTTCAGTATATGGTCTGCTGCAATATTCTGGTGAAACCGAACACAACCTTGAGGAACAGTACCCAGTCTTCAAATTGGGTACAATACAACTTTCTGGACTCAACACGGAGTCCAACAACTTCTGATTGCGAGCTAAATCCTCAGTTTTGCTTTTTGTCCCCCCCCACATTTTTCTTTTCTATGTACCAGTCTGTAACTTAGTATCATACTTTTGCTTTTAGAACCGTCCTTTATTTTGCCATTAACACTTAACATAGCCCAATGCTTTGTTTCTTTCATTACAACCATCATTACCACTCATTTCTCTTATTGTTTGACATTTAAGCTCTTCCATCCTAAACTATCCCCACCTTCAATTTTGCTATACCTGACCCCTTCACCACCCTTTTTTTAAGAGCACAGAAGCTTTCACTTGTGTCATATCAGACTTGAAATTCTGCTTCTCTGGCCACAGATGCTGCCAGACCAGCACTTTTCCCAGCACTTACTGCTTTTATTTCTAATGCCATTAAATGAGAATGCAATTTCATCACTTACACCATATATTTTTGGACATTGAAATAAGTTACAAATCTTAAAATTGCGTTGGAAAGAATGCACATTTGTATTGTCATGGCCAACAATGAAAGGTTAACAACAACAACTTTCATTAAGCTATTGCTCTTGACATAGTTAAGCCTTCCAAAGCGCTTAACAGGACCATTATCAAATAAAACCTGAAACTCAGATATGGGCTTGAACCTAACACACAAGGTCACTACAACCAAGACCAGTTCTGTCCCTGCCAAACATTCAGAGCTGAACACTTTTTGACAGGAGTGGTTGGATAGTAAACAGGAGCAGAATTCATGGTTGCCTTTCTCTCTTTTGTCTAGAGGGTACCAGGTCCAATTCAACCCTATCAACTGCTGACCCAGGTGAGTCATATATACCCACATGGAGCTGGTCTAAGAAGCTCAGGAGTAAGCTTGAGAGCGAATTGATCTGTAAAGTCATGGGCAGAGGGGATGGTGAGAGAGGAGGCTCACTCACTCTTCCCTTATTCAGAGTACTAGTTCACACGGATCGTGTATGATTGAGTCCAGAAAGTTTCTGTCATGAACAGGATGACGTGTTTAGGGTGGAAATGTCAAACTTCAAGTGGTGGGGTCGCTTCTGGAATCCTGTGTCCAGTTCCGGTCGCCAAGTTGTAGGAATGATATTATTAAGCTGGAGAGGCTACAGAAGAGTTTTACCAGGATTTGCTGGGTATGGAAGGTTTGAGTTATAAAGAAAAGCTGGATAGGCTGGAACATTTGTCACTGGATTGTAGGAGGTTGAGAGGTGACCTAAAAGAAGTTTATAATATAATGAGAGGTATAGATAGGGTTATTGGTAGTTCTCTTTTCCCTAGGATGGAGAATTTCAAGACTAGGGGATACATTTTTAAGGTGAGAAGAGAAAGATTTAAAAAAGACATGAAGGCAGTTTTTTTTTTACACAGAGGGTCATTCGCGTGTGGAATGAACTTTCTGAGGAAGTGGTGAATGGAGGTGCAATTACAACGTTTAACAGACATTTGGATAAGTACATAAACAGGACCGGTTTGGAGGGATATGGTCCAGGAGCAGGCAGGTGGGACTAGTTTAGCTTGGGATTATGTTTGGCCTGGACTGGTTGGACCGAAGGATCTGTTTCCATGCTGTGTGACTCTATGACTTGACAATTGCAGGCTTAGCTGCCTATGGTGCAGTAACTAATATCAGGGAACCTCAAGAGGCCAGAATTGGGGGTGGTCAGATATTTAGCATATAGAGTGATGAAAGCAGGAAGGAAGATAGATAGGGATAAGGCCATGCAGCAATTTGAAGACAAGGACAGAAACTTCTTTAAAAACAAAAATTGCTTAAACAGGAGCCAACAAGATCAACCAGCCCAACTGTGGTAGGTGAACAAAGCATGTGATGCGTTACAATGCAGGCAGATGAGTTTTCTTGAGGTTGGAAGGTAGGCGGCCAAACAGAATTGTGTTGGAATAATCAAGTCAAGAAGCATCACAGATTTGACTGAGGGTTTCAGCCCTGACAAGAACTGAGGCAGGGGGGAGTCTGGCACCTTTGATGGAAGTAGGTGGTGCTGCAGTTATGTGGTTACAAGTTCGTCACAGATTCAAAAGTAATATCAAGTCTATTTGAATCAGACCTTTGTGGCTTAATCTACATCTCTCTAGGGTTTGCTTCTTCACATATTTAGAACTATAAATCCAGACCTTTAGGTGCATTGTCATGACTTCTTAAATTTTTGATCTGCCATTAATTTCGTACACATCAGATAATGGCTGTAAAGTGAACTTGACTGTTTTTTTGGAGGGTGTGTCACAGAGATGGAAATAGATAGTGTTAGCGATGGTGTACATGTGGTCAGAGGTTTAATCCAGAGTCAAATACGGTACTAGGTTTACACATGATTAGCTTCAAACAGTTACTGGGAAAAGAACATAGTTGATAAGGATACTAGGAAGCTGAAATTCCAGCACCAACAATGCTAACCCATTTTGCACAGCACACTGAAGGACCTGTGTGGGGTTTTATACTGTCCCCTCATGTAAAACAGTAAGCCCAATCCAAGTATCATCTTTTTTCAAGCTGTGGGAGCACAGAGATCAGGATTTTCTAAACAGGGAAGGTGCCCCGTCCTACTGGTGGCAAAGATTTATATGGAATGTTTTCTGTTCTGTCTCATGCTGATATGGGCAGAACATTGTCAATATCACGTGACAATGTCCACAGCAAGCTACAATGGCACACCCTTCTATTTTCTTCTCTGCATCTCTAACTTGTCTGCCATTCCAACCTAGTCAGTTAGCTGAGAAACAACCGATCAGCTTCACTTGTAAACAAGTCCTCAGGTCCTGATGGCCAGCAGTTGCAGGAACCCATAGCCGTAAAAACAGATCACAATGGGCATTGGAATTCCTCGCTGTGAAATTATGCAGCCATCCAGTAAGTTTCTGTTCTTAAAAAAAAAAGTTCTTTCTCCTTCGAGTCCACAGTTTTTAAAGGTAAGAAATAAGAAGACATGGTTCTTACACTGTCACTGCTTCACTGCAACCTGTTGCTATAACTTTTATTCATTTTATAAAATTTAGGGCTGAATCTCCCTGGTCTATTGCCGGTGGGTTGGAGGCGAGAGGGTGGGAAAAATTGTGGGAAATGGTGTCAGGAGAACAGTCAGACATATTCTTACCATTGGCAATATGGAATAGTCGTGGGAACATTTGCTAGCTTGTCCACCCACTGGGCAGCCTATCAGAGTGGAAAACTATCCAATCACGTTTTTCTAACTCTTCCTTAAAATTTTTCAGAATATATTCTGTATTAAAAGACATTATGTAAAAAGAAGTCATGTTGTTGCTGCCTGTTGGGAGAAATATGTGAACACTGGCTGAGGTCAAAATTGGACATAGCTGAATTACTAGCATAATCTCACACATGAAGAACAGCACATGCATTGAAGCTCATGGAGCATTTGTTCAACC